GGAGAGGACAACTTTGGCCCAAATCCAAAACCCACTTCACCCGCTTCAGTGGCGAGATGAGAACAGCAATTAGATATTAAAAAAATCAATATATGACAATTTAAAAAATGGAAAATAGATAGCAGTCAGTCGCAGTGAGAAACCATGATGGGTAGAGAACTGATCAGGGGAGCTGAGGATGCCGAGGAAAACTCTTACCTGTCATGGATGGGGAGAAGAGCCTCTCAGGGTCCTGGAGAAAAGAGAAACCCTAGAAGTGGTGGATGGAAGAAGCCCTAAGGTAGAAATTTTTAGTAAATCTTTCCTCTGTAGACTTGGAAAGCAGCAGTGCTATGTTCCTGTATCTATCATAGGTGGGTGATGACGTTTTTTCTAGCTCATTAGTAGCCAAGGAGAATTTTATACAAGGTCCAATGGAGATGAATTGTTTTTAAAGGAAAAGGCCTTGACAGCTTGCACCCAAGAATCCCTGAAGAGTTGACATGTGATGCTGGTTTTTAATAAAGCTTACAGACTGGGAAAATGCCATCAAGAGCTGGTCGGGGTAACCATGGAAGAGTTGGCAACACTTTGCTTATCTTTTCTGGGCAGAATAATTGAAGAGCCAATATAAGATTCAATTGATAAAGAATTAAAGGATAGAAATATAATTCATGCCACTCAACTTAGATTTATGGAATATAGATCTTGTCAAATAAACCTGATTTCATTCTTCCAGATGACAACTTTGGTTGATAAATGTAGATGAAATAGACTCTGCAAGGTGTTGGACGCGGTGCTGTGTGACATTGTGTGTAGGAAAGACGGAGCAGTGGGTGTGCTAGCACGGGAGATGCAGAGCTGGCCAGCAGATTTGGGAATGTCAGGGCTTAGCTGGCGAAGCTTTGGTGGTTGGGAGACATCGGCAGGGGCTGGGTCGGAGCCGCAGTGGGGGTTAGCACTTTGTTGGTGATTTAGAAATGAATATGCAATCGTGACTGCTTAGCACTGTGGATAAAGCAAAGGCGGCTGGACAGGTGAAGAGAAATCTGGATGGTGGGTTTATGGGGTGGTATGGAAAGAGTGTCAAGCAGGGTCTGTTGAGAGCACAGTTGGGGACAGCCCACCGTGGTCCTTGGATAGAAGAGTGGAATCAGGGCCCTGCTTACAGAGCTGGGGTGCAGTACCCCAGAAGACGTCAGCTCTGCAGGAGGCTCAGAGGAAAACCAACTCCTTCCCAGCATGATGCTAGGGTGAGAAGGGCTAGGCTGGTCCTTGAGTAGTGGAAGAGGATGGAGGGCTGGCTTCAGGATGGAAAAATTTGAGTTTATGGGTACACAAGTACCCTTGGTGTATGTGGAGGGGCACACTGTGTACCAAAGGGCTTTTCAGTGGATCAACCAAAAAACCCCAACAAACCACTCAACAGAAAATGAGAACGGGTAGAGATTAGAGCCAGGGAACTTCAGATGGGCCCCAGTACCCGTCTGTGAGTGTGGTTAGCTGTGGGAACTGACTGTGGTGGCAACAGTGGGTGCTCTCCTTGTCTTCTGAGCTGGTTTGAATGGTTTTCACTGGGATTTCGTGCTTTGCCCTGAAGACAGTTTGCAGGGCTGCAGGAGGTCACTCTTCACCCAAAGACGTCACGGTACAGGACAACTGAGAGCCACGTATTACAGGAAAGGTCAGAGAGTGAGAATTGGTGTTCCCTTTCAACCTTACATTCCTCGATGCGAAGCAGCTGAGGATGTGAGCTCCAGCCCCACTGGCAGTGGCCGAGGAGGACTGGTTCGGCAGTGACTTGCTTCGCATCTTGACCTGGGGGATTCCTGCTCTAGCCTCTTGGAAATCAGCCGAAAGCACCGATGGCGTTGCAGTGCTGCTCTGGATAACACATCCCATCCCATCGCACCTGTGGACGATGAGGCATAAAGAGCCCTGCGGGACCTTCTTAAACTCTGTCCTTGGCCAGCACCAGCTTGCCCCGTGCTCTTGCCCAGATGCTTTAGCTGGGAAGCCTGTGCGGACATAGAGGCTGGCCTGTAGCTAGGAGACACCAGTGGATCCACAGCCTTTGGGTCCTACAATCCCACCTGGCTTTTGGAGGGATCCGAATGCTGTATCAAAAAGCACGGTGGTGGGACGGAGGAAGGAAAGGCCCTTTCAAAGACGGGGGTTCCTGCAGCAGTCTTAAGGACCTGTCTCACTGGTGGTGGGCAACACGTGGATTAGTGCCATAATTCTTGCAGTTTGGCAAGGCTGCATCAGACTGGAACGTATCTCTAGCTGGTGATATGGTCAGTCAACAGCCTTCATAATTAATCAAGCACTCATAGACAAATTAGAAATCGTGTCTCTTCTAAGCAGGAGGTGGAGGCAAATGGCTGGTGAATTTTAACTGTTTCGCTGCTTTATTTTATTGCATGGTTTTACATTACTCCCTTGAAAATGGTGGGTTGTTTAGGGAACTTTAGTACATAAACATGATTTTAAATTTAAATTATTATCTTGATTACCAAATGCGGATGGTGAATTGAAAACTTGTTTTTCAGGCAAGCAAATGAAGAATAATATTACATTTTACACTCCACTAAATCAATGTAGCCCTAATTTTGCCATGCAGGAAATCAATTCCAGTCTTTATAACAGTCGAAGATGTTATGAACAAAGTAATTTCACAAATTATCGCAAGTAACACATTTATTGATGAATGTAGTTTAGGAATTTAGAATTTGTGAGTGCTGTAATATAATAAGGCCATACTGGCAGGAGCTGAGTGAAATACAGATTATACGGTGAAACTGTAATGCATCATTTGCTATTAGTGGACTGGTAATAATTACCAGTTTCAAAGCAGCTTTTTCCATGTAATCTTTAGTCTCAGTCGTAACAGCCCTTCTCATTGACATTATGATTACACGAGCTGCCCTTATGATCTAGAATATCTAGTTGATGGGAATACTAAAATGTGGTAGCGAATGCTCGATGTTGTGTCCTCATTATAAGATAAAATGCTATTTTCTCTGACCTGATCTATAAGGTAGAGAGGCGAGGTAGCGTTATGTTGTTAGCTCCTACCATGGTGTTAAAAACTTCCACTTCATTACGGCAAAGCAAGGGGAAATTTTCCCATTTAAGATTGTTTCCCGGCCTCACAAATGAGCATAGGAATGTGAAAGTCCAATTGAGTTTCCCTCTGATTTCAGCAGATTTATCTGTACTTTCATGCCTAGCACATACTAAACACCACAGTGCATCTGATTCCGATGCCAGCTTCAGGATGAAATGTTAAATATTATTCCAAGGGCTCTTAAAGTGATTAAAGTGTTAAATGCCTGCTGTAGACAGTCGAGTCTCTTCTTACTCCTCCGATTCAGCTTCTCAGGCCAAACATTAGAATAACCGCAGAGGGCTGCCTGCGTCTCGTATCCCCACGTCATCATTCAGCTCAGAGAACAAAAATGCCCATACGAAGCTTTTCTTCCCTCCTCCCAAGTGAGGTGGGAAGCGGGGCGGGTGCAGATAAAGCAGTGATTTCTTTCCAAATCTGCCTCATCCGTTTGGGTTGTGGGTTTTTTTTTTTTCTTCATGTTAGGCAAATAGGAGAAACCTAATGGGGGGCAGCTCTCAGTCTCTCAGTGCAGCGTGTAAAGAGGTTTATCCAGGAGTGGTGCCGATGGAGCAGATGCCTCGTAATGTAAAATAAATGCTGGGTCAGGGCAGGAGTGCGTGGTGCAGGCAGGTATTATCCCAAGCACTGATGCCCTTGGAGGGTTCCTGGTTTATTCCTCAGCAAACCCTCAAGAGCATGTTTATTATTAAGAATATCACTAAACAGCGAGAAGTACTATGAGAACTGCTGGTCAGGGCTGGAAATGAATTTTTATTCTCTTCTTAGCTCCGGTATCAGTTTACCAGCATTTAGCAAAAACCATCCATACAGGGGGTGGACGTAAATTATCTGCAAAATGGCAGTAATTGATAAAAGCACACTCACCTTCACCATATCTCACACCACTACTTCCTCATGGACGGCCCTCAAAAAGTTATTCATCCCCCTTGTTTTGCCATATATTAGAAGGGGCTGCTTTCTGCTGTCATTGTTAGCCTGCTTTTTGTTTAGTTATTTATTAGTTGGTTGCTCTTTTATAATGTCCGTGTTATCTCCAAAAATAAATTATCATGAAATAGAGTTAGCTCGCTACTTGCCAAAGTGGCATTTACCATCCTCAGCTTCTTTTCAGCGCGAGGGAAATAATGTGGCTCCGGCAGGGCGCTCGGCCAGGCCTCCTGGCCACCATCCAGCTCTTTCCCTGGCGGAGCTGCTGCTCTCTCTGCCTTCCCCTCTCCCTGTCCCATGCTCTATTTTGTTTAATTTTTTTTTTTTCCTCATTGCCCCATAGTTGAATCTCTGCTAATGAGCAGGAGGTGTTGCCTGATTTTGTACACGTTGTTAGTCTCTCAAAAGTAAGGAGGAGGCTAATAGCGTGGCGTTGCCCAGCTGGCTAAAATCATGATGCTCTGGGTTGCTGCTTTGAAACCACATGTGTGTTTTTCTGGAGTGTTTTTCAGAAGGGGATTGATTTATTTTATTTTGTTCATTCTATGTATTTATTTACTTATTTTCTTCCCAGTTTAAATGTTAGCAGCCTCTTGCAGCATAAAGTCTGCCAAGCCATAGCTGGCATCCATTGACCTGATCATCTTTTTTTTCTTTTTTTTTATCTTTATAGCTTTTTTTTTTTTTCCCCTGCGATTACCTGCCGGGGTTTGGTTCTGGACCCCAGGGCTGAGGACGGTGGGAGGAGGTGGGCATGTTTTGGGTGGGTTTGGACCTCCCCATTGCGCCCCTCGCCTCCTCCCATCCTGTCCCCCTGTCCCCTGCCTGCACCTGAGCTGGGACGTCCCTTCCCTGGCTCCCAGCTGAGCATCCCAGAGGAAAGGAGCTTAGGCGGGGAGGTGAGCTCTCGCCCGCCGATGGACGGCCGGAGATTGACGCTGCTTGTTGTGTTATTTTGCAGGTAAAGACGAGCCCAGCAGCTACACATGTACGACTTGTAAACAGCCTTTCAACAGCGCCTGGTTCCTCTTGCAGCACGCACAGAACACGCATGGCTTACGGATCTACCTAGAAAGCGAGCACGGCAGCCCCCTGACGCCACGGGTTGGTATCCCAACAGGACTAGGTGCAGAGTGCCCTTCCCAGCCACCTCTCCACGGGATTCACATTGCAGACAATAACCCTTTTAACCTGCTCAGAATACCCAGCTCGGTCTCGAGGGAGGCGTCGGGGCTGGGAGAAGGGCGTTTCCCACCCACGCCGCCCCTCTTTAGCCCTCCCCCGAGGCACCATTTGGATCCGCATCGCATTGAGCGGCTGGGTGCGGAAGAAATGGCTCTGGCCACCCATCACCCTAGTGCCTTTGACAGGGTGCTGCGACTGAACCCCATGGCGATGGAGCCCCCCGCTATGGATTTCTCCCGGAGGCTGCGGGAGCTGGCCGGCAACACCTCCAGCCCGCCCTTGTCCCCGAGCCGGCCCAGCCCTATGCAAAGGTTGCTGCAGCCCTTCCAGCCCGGCAGCAAGCCCCCGTTCCTGGCCACGCCTCCCCTTCCTCCTCTCCAGTCTGCTCCTCCTCCCTCCCAGCCGCCCATGAAGTCCAAGTCGTGTGAGTTCTGCGGGAAGACCTTCAAGTTTCAGAGCAACCTGGTGGTCCACCGCCGGAGCCACACCGGGGAGAAGCCCTACAAGTGCAACCTCTGCGACCACGCCTGCACACAGGCCAGCAAGCTGAAGCGCCACATGAAGACCCACATGCACAAGTCCTCCCCCATGACGGTGAAGTCGGACGACGGGCTCTCCACTGCCAGCTCCCCCGAGCCAGGCACCAGCGACCTGGTGGGCAGCGCCAGCAGTGCCCTCAAGTCCGTGGTGGCCAAGTTCAAGAGTGAAAATGACCCCAACATGATCCCTGAGAACGGGGATGAGGAAGAGGAGGAGGACTTGAACGAGAGCGACAGGCCGGACTATGGCTTTGGGATGAGCCTGGAGGCGGCCCGCCACCACGAGAACAACTCGCGGGCCAGCGAGGAGGGCCGGTCGATGCCGGACGTCATGCAGGGCATGGTCCTGAGCTCCATGCAGCACTTCAGCGAGGCCTTCCACCAGGTTCTGGGGGAGAAACACAAGCGGGGCCACCTCCCCGAGCCCGAGGTGCACAGGGACACTTGCGACGAAGACTCGGTGGCCGGCGAGTCCGACCGCATCGACGAGGGGGCGGTCAACGGCCGGGGCTGCTCCCCGGGGGAGTCTGCCTCAGGAGGCCTGTCCAAAAAGCTGCTGCTGGGTAGCCCCAGCTCCCTGAGCCCCTTCTCCAAACGCATCAAGCTGGAGAAGGAGTTCGACCTGCCGGCCGCTGCCATGCCCAACACCGAGAACGTTTACTCCCAGTGGCTGGCGGGCTACGCCGCCTCCCGGCAGCTGAAGGACCCCTTCCTCAGCTTTGGCGACTCCCGACAATCGCCCTTCGCCTCCTCCTCTGAGCACTCCTCGGAGAACGGCAGTCTGCGCTTCTCCACGCCGCCGGGCGAGCTGGACGGAGGGATCTCAGGCCGCAGCGGCACGGGAAGCGGAGGGAGCACCCCCCATATTAGTGGCCCGGGCCCTGGCAGGCCCAGCTCAAAAGAGGGCAGACGCAGCGACACTTGTGAGTACTGTGGGAAGGTCTTCAAG